CATCTCTCTGCTGCCTGACTCCTTCCTCTGAAGCCACACCTACAAAACGCCAAGGGGCAGAGAGACCTACTTCTCTCAATCACATTCTGAAGTTTACTGTTCAGAAAAATGTGTCAGGTGTCACTACTGCTGTCAGAGTTGCAGCCCTGACAAGGCAGTGGGGATATGAAAGGAGCCCCATGAGCCATGTCTTCCCTGGAAACAAGAACATCCATAATAACAAGGTGGGCAGCTAACTTTTCTGGGCACTTACTACGCTCCAGACACTGTGCTAAGCTCTTCACATGCATGATCTTATTTAACCTTCCCAAGCCCCCATGATGGGGATACTGCCATGATTCCCATTTCATAGATAAGAAGCTAAGGCACAGAGAGGTTAAATAACTTGTCCAAGGTCATACAAGTCATGAGTTAAGATTTAAACCCAGTCCCAGAACCCTACTGTCAACCAGTATATTTTTGGCCACCTAGGGACATCACAGGTACCATACTCCCATCCCCTATTTTAATGTCCTGAGCATTCACCCTAATAAAAGCACCTTATACTCGAGTGGATGCCAATTCTAGACATACTGAGGCTTGATCCTGGGCCAATTTTCTCTTCAACATGAAACTGCATGGGAAGCAATGCTGAAAGAAAACAGAAGTAGAGTCACAGGTGCAGAAAACAAACGTATGGTTACCAGGGGTTGAGGGGGGTAGGGATAAAATTGGGAGATTGGGATTGACATATCACACTACTATAAATAAAATAGCTAACAAATAAGGACCAGGGAACAGCACAGGGAACTCTACTCAATACTCTGTAATGGGCTATATGGGAAAAGAATCTAAAAAAAGAGTGGATGTGTGTATATGTATGTGATTCTGTGCAGCAGAAGCCAACACAACATTGTAAATCAACTATGCTCCAATAAAAATTCTTTAACAATTTTCTCTTCACACTGAACCTGCATGGGAAGCAAGGCTGAAAGATGGAGAGAGAGGCTTGGTTTGTATATGAGTCAGGAGAGAAAATTATCTCCCTGTACTCCACCCGCAACTCAATAGTCATGGGCATCCTTGAGCCCATGATGACTGCAAAACATCCTGGGAACACCCCTGCTCAAACCACAGTGCTGCAAAAGGTGGGTACTAGCATGGGGAGGTAGGGGTACAGGCCTAATACCCTGTCCTGCTTCCCAGGAAGGGAAAGCATGCTTCCCCCAGGAAGCTCACAATGTGACCAGAGGCTTACGGACATATTGGGGCAGGACAGAAGGACTGAGTGCCTGGTCTGCTGGAAGAAGGGATGACAGTGAGCAGAAGGGAGAGGGCCACCTGCAGGAGGGCTGAGTAACCTTCCTGAGGGCGGGAGGAAGGGAGGGAGGGAGGCTGGCCTTGGCAGGAGGGGAGGCAGGCGCAGAGGAAGCAGCAAGATCAGTCCAGGCAGTGAGACAGGGCAGCCCCAGTAGACTTCCCAGGCTGCCCTCTGGGAAGCAGGCAGGAAGGTTGAGTGTATTATGCTGGCCCCGCCTCCTGAAGCTCTCTCCATAGCTGCTGGACTGGACACAAAAGCGTGAGGGACAGAGACACCATCTCTGCTGATTTGTACCCAACTCTAGTTCCAGTAGCTGAGAAGCTACATATGACAGAGAAGCTGGGGGGGCGGGGCACGTGGCTGTCTGCATTTCCCAGGTAAGTGACTATTTGTGTCAGAGCCAGAAGTGATGAGCAAGGCCTGAAGGTGGTGGGCAGGGGAGAAGGCGGGAGGCGGCTGCCCTGGGGTGGACGGGGTACCGTCTATGGAAGGAAAAAGGGGCAGGGGCTGGGAGCTGGAACAAGGCCTGTGGCCAGGCTTCTGCAAAGCATCCACGTCCACGGGTGAGGTAGGTGAGCCGGGGCCGCCCCTGGCCGGCAAGCACAGAGGAAGGTCCAGGAGAGGGCTGTGCTCTGCCCGCACCAGGGTGTCAGCGTTCCTCTTCCAGACCGGGAATATTTGTGTTGACCTGGCCAGAAAACCCCAGCCTGAGCCCTTGCCTTCCTCTCGGTCTTCTTGGTGGTCAAGAGAGCACCTTTGGCAGCTACAGGAGGAAGACAGCGGGACATATTCACTGGGAATGTGGCTGCAGACAGAGGGATTTCCCATCTGGAAAGGCAATCCCCGTCAGCTGTGAGCTAGCAGAGGGCTGTGTGCCGCCCTGAGGAGGCTCCCCTGTGGCCCAGAGGAAAGGGATGAGACACATGTTGTGTAGAAGGCGGGGTGGGGAGTGGGTGAGATGAGTGGTCTGTGAACAGCTCTCTGTGAGCATGCACGGCGTGTTGTCCCAGAGAAAGAAAGACGCCTTGGAACCTGCTTCAATCAAATCCAGCGTCCCCTTGCCATCCTGCTGGCAGACCAGTCCCTGAGCAGGCACACTGGCCTCAGTAAGTCATAGTAAGCTGGTTAGCGCTGTGTCCCCTCTACACACACACACACACACACACACACACACACACACACACACAGCCACTCTCTAAGAACCACTATGCTGAAAATATGTCAAACTTGGTTTCCTGCCAAGAGGTACGCCAGCTACACTCTGACGTGTTATGGGGATAGAGCAGAAGGGTCAGAGGGAGGGAGTGATCCCTGGGCTTCGGGTACCAAGGGACATGAGATGCTGAACTCCAGTCGTTACTGCACTGTGTCCTCCATTTATCTACGGCTACTGTATCCACGGAGAGAGTGAGAAGTCCTCCCCATCGCTGCCCCTCCCCTCCCTCCAGCCCACACACAGAGTAACTGGGCTTGTTGTGATCAGGCAGGAGCTGGGGGAAGGGCAGTCTGGTGAGACAGGGGCTAATATAACAGGACATGACCTTACTGTGTGAACCTTGACCACCAAACTGCGAAGATCATCGACCTAGACACCTCCCCGGAGTCCCACTGCGGTGCAGCGGAGCTAGCAGCACGAGTGACAATGGCCCAGTCACTGAGTGCCAGCCATGTGTGCAGGAGCGTCCCCCACACTATACAGTAGGGGCAGTATCTCCATCCTGCAGACGAAGAGAACCTGGCTCAGAGATGTTTGTCGACACACAGGCATACGATTTTGACTATTTGGTCAACATCTGTCGAATGAATGACTCCGTCTTGCTGAGGGATGATGGCACGCCTCCCGCCCTGAAGCGGCACGTTGGAGCCACACCAAGAGCCTATCCCTCTGAGAGGCGGTGGAAGGTGGGCGGAGGGGAGCAGCGGCTTTTGGAAAGCAAACACTCAGTGACTCATACGCCGAACCACCTCAGGCAAAGGCCTGGCCTCTCTCTCCTGTGCAGGGCAATTTGGGTCAACAGGGTCAGGGAGGAGCCCAGCGGTGAGGCCCCGTAGCCAAGGTGTCTTGGCCTAGAAAACACAAGGGGCTTTGATGCCTCAGAAAGCAGCGGCTCTCCCCACCCCAGGATGCTGCGGCTGCTCTTGGGCAGGGCCCAGCCCCGGGGCAGGGCCTCAGTGTGGAGGCCACATTGGGGAGCTAGGGCAGCCCCTTGAAGTCAGAAACCCCACGGCTGCTGTCTAGGAGCTGTGTGACCCTGGGCAGGTGAGTAATCTCTTGAAACCTCAGTTTTCTGGTCTGTAAAATGGAAAGGATACTATAATAGTAATAGCACTTATCTTAAAGGTTGCTGGGAGGATTAAAGGAAGTCATGCTTGTGAAATGCTCAGCACATTGCCGGGCTCATAACATTTGTCCAGAAAATGGAACTGCTAGTAATACTGCTCTCTGGGATTCTCAGAAGGTTCCCTCCAGAGCAAAGCAAACTCAGCCCCCGGGTCAGAAATTGCTCCTCTCCCACCTACACCCCATCCTGCCCCACTCCCCACCCCCCCACCCCCGGCCTCCACAGAGACCCTCAGTAGCCTGTCTCTCACTCCAGCAACTCCTGTAAAACTCACACAAACAATACTTATTAACCAACCCCAGCAGGCTTTCTTTGTATCTTCAAGCTAAAATAAAATCAATCAGAAAATGCAACTCAAAGCCTCCCTTGCCTCATGCCTTGCTGTCAAAACCCTAAGTCCATACTTTTCAAGTTGGGGTATGTACACCCGTGGGAGCCTATGGGGGTATGCCAGGAATACATGAGGCCATGGGATAAATACAGCACACCTGGGGAAAAGTTAAACGTTTAAACTGAAGGTAACTTAAAACACTATTTTTATGTTAAAACAGACATGACATAGAATCTACATTCTCATGAACAGTTAAGATGAAGCAATACTTCAGAGATAGTTCAAGCTGTTGGTGGGCATCCCTTTCTCCCTGGGTGCATGTGTCTACCCCGCCCAAGCAGCAGGGGGTTCTTCACTGCAAAGGCCTGAGAAGCTCCCCTTAAGCAGTGAGAGGCAGCTGGGTTTCTTCTTGGGAACACGCTGGTGTCTTCCTGACTCACCCCCATTCTCCCAGGAGCTGGTCCTTATCTTTGGAAGGGGTGGCCCACGCAGTCCAGTGCCTGGGAGGCAGTCCCAGCTGCCACCATCAAGAGATGGCAGGCTTGCACTCCCAGCAGAAATGGCAAGAGCCGGCCTGGTTTTCAGCTTCCAGACCAGGATGGCAGTTTAAGAGGTCCGAGGAGGACCAGACCTTGCTTCCTGCCCTCTCTCTTCCCCAGGCTCACAGAGAACCCACCTGGCTAGCAGTTGGTGTTTGAGCCCCTGGGAAGGGCAGGGCAGGGCACAGCTGGCACTCAACAAATGCCCCACGCTTGCCATCCTGACAACATTGTCTCCTGGGGCTTCGGGCAAGTGGGACCTCCAAAGGATTAAGGGTGACTGTGGAGTTCTCAGCAGGGCCCAGCTCCTCCTTCGCCTGTGAGGGGCAGCAATGTGGCTGGAACGGCTACCAGCTGGACACAGATCTGTAGTGAGAACTCAGTCCCCGTGGCCGTGAAGGTGATTAAGTCCATTCTTTGTGATTTTCCTTTTTGCAGGTATCTTGAGCCAAGTAAAGGTCTGTGTCGGAGAAGCAGGGATAGAAGGGCCTGCACATATGGCACAGGTGGACCCCCAGGATGGACAGGGTGAGGTATCTCCTCTCTGCAGCTATGACCCCCGGATGCGACGCATGAACTTGGGGAGTGAGGATGAGGACCGTGGACAGGCAGGAGACAAAGGGGGCACTGGTGACACTGGTCAGTGGGCCCATTCAAGGCTCAGCTCCCAAGGGACTCAGGACAAAACTGACTTGCCATGGCAGCATCCGTTCCACAAAAAGGAAGAGAAATTCTCTGACTCCTTTAGTGCAGGAGTTGTGGGGAAGAAACCTATGGCAATGCCTAGGAAGAAGGCCAGCTGGGAAAGAGACGAGTCAAAGATCACCCTGACTCAGGACTCCCCCAGAGCAAGCACAACTCCCAGTGGCCTCCCCAGCAGCTTCTCACACAAGGGGTTTGGTCAGGTGCAACCTCCTAGGGACCCATTACCTGCTGGCAATGATGGAGACTGGAGGGCAAACCTGGACACTGCTCTAGGTATCCCATCCAACTTCCCTGGTTCTGGAAGATATTTCTGTGCACAGAAAGGGGTAGACAAGTCCCCAGACAGCTCCTCTCCAGCTTGTGTCCCCAAGGCGGCGGGCAGTTGGGACCCCTCCACGCAGAAGACACATATACCAGCCCAGGGGTCGGCCACCCCAGCCAACCTGGCAGCAGAGGCGCTGGCCAAAGTGCGGAAGGGCTTTAAGGACCAGAACCCGGCGGGCGCCGGGGAGGGCGGGCAGAGGCAGGCGTGTCCCCACAAGCGCCGGTGGGGCGGGCAGGCCTTCCAGAAGCCGCCTGGCGCCAAGCCTTACACGTGCGAGCTGTGCGGGAAGGTGTACTCCCACCGGGGCACTCTCCAGCAGCACCAGCGCGTGCACTCGGGCGAACGACCCTACCGGTGCCCCTTCTGCGACAAAGCCTACACGTGGTCCTCGGACCACCGCAAGCACATCCGCACGCACACGGGCGAGAAACCCTACCCTTGCCCGGACTGCCGCAAGGCCTTCGTGCGCTCCTCCGACCTGCGCAAACACCAGCGCAACATGCACAGCAACGACAAGCCCTTCCCGTGTGCCGAGTGCGGCCTGACCTTCAACAAGCCGCTGTCGCTGCTGCGCCACCAGCGCACGCACCTGGGCGAGAAGCCCTTCCGCTGCCCCACCTGCGACCGGGAGTTCGCCGTGGCCAGTCGGATGATGGAGCACCAACGCGTGCACTCGGGCGAGAGGCCCTTCCCCTGCCCCACCTGCGGCAAGTGCTTCACCAAATCCTCCAACCTGATCGAGCATCAGACGCTGCACACGGGCCAGAGGCCCTTCAAGTGCGCTGACTGCGGCGTGGCCTTCGCGCAGCCCTCGCGCCTCGCGCGCCACCAGCGCATCCACACGGGCGAGAGGCCCTTTCCTTGCGCGCAGTGTGGCCAGGCCTTTGCGCGCTCCTCCACCCTGAAGCGGCACCAACAGATCCACTCCGGGAAGAAGGGCTTCCTCTGCGCCGAGTGCGGCAGGGCTTTCCGCATTGCCTCGGAGCTGGCCCAGCACATTCGGGTGCACAACGGGGAGAGGCCCTACCAGTGTGAGGACTGCGGCCAGGCCTTCACCAGCTCCAACCACCTCCAACGACATCGAGCCAAGCACCGCAGCTGCAAGAAGGAGCCCATCCCCTCCTCCTCGGACGAGTGAGGGCTCCATCAGCTGACTCTCAGGGAAGGTGAAGACATGGCCGACCTCGGATGCAGTGACGAAAAAAACTAGCCCATTCTGCCCTCAAAGCCATGTGCAAATACCGAGAAGGTCCGGGCTGGTCCTGTCTAGAGAAAGGTACTTTTCTGTTTTTATGTAAATAAAGGAATCCCCAGATGTGGTCTCTATGGAGGAATCTTCCAAAGCAGCAAATTATACCTGGGGGTAACTCAAACCCATCCAAATGGCTCAGCATTTCACTTTCCTAACGAAATGACTTTACCCTGGGGAATGTCTTTATGAGTCATGGCTTTGAATTAGAGAAGGCCTTTATCTTAAAGAGAGGGGCGTTTATGTCCTATATTTAGGACCCAGTTATCCTAGAAATCCAGAACAGCCTTAGCCTCTGAAAAAGAAGAAGCCCGCTTCTCTTCACAGTGGAGCTTAGTAACTGGAACTAATCTGAGTCTCACCCGCAAAATTCACAGGTGCCTCCTCTCTGGCTACCTCTTCTCCTGTTTCCACTCTGGGAGCTTCAATCACATGCTATATTTACAGAGGAATCTGCCCATTTACAAAGACATATACAAAATTTCTCCCTATGGGCTTGACCATGGTTCAGGAAGCCTTTTAGGTTCATTTAAACTTGCCAGGATCAAAGCTCCAATGTGAAGTAAATAAAATAAAGGACCCCTTGCCCAAGTGCAATCAGCTTGTTTCACCATCATTAAAAACAGGTTTGAAAACCTACGTGACTCGCAGTTATTCTCGAACAAGGTTAACTGAAATTTGCATTACTAACAGCCATTCTTAGAGATGTACTGCTACATACGTTGATTTTGTATAGTTTAAAAGTCAGTAGTTCTTAGCTCTGGACCTCAACCGGGAGGAATCCGTGACTTCACAGAGTTCCGTTGATGCACAGAGGTAAACGGCACTTCTCATCTTACCAAAGTTAAAGAAGGTACTCCACAAAAAGGTATTGTACTCTCCTTTTGAGGATATCTTTGCTATATTCCTAAAATCGCCACCCAAACCTGCCAAATCTGAATTTCAGCTGATTTGGACCCAGGGAGTGACTGCTAAATAGTGCTCTTATGCTTGACACATGGAGTCCAGAGAGAACTGCTATAGGCGTCATGCCTTGTTTGACAAAGGTAACCTTAGAGCTCTGACAGCATGCCTGCAGGTTTTGTGTGTTGACTCACTTAGATAGATCTACGTGTCCAAAAGACAGAGTTAGCCAGTTCTGGGCCTGGCTGGAGAGCCAGTTGTTGGGTGCCTAATCCATCTCCGTATTCACCAGTGACGTGACCTTGAATTCAGCTTCTGCATCTGAATTGGCAAAATAGGAAGGATAATAACGGGGTAATAAGGGTGAGCATCAGTCTCCCAGGAAAAGAGCTTTGAATTCAAAAGCATTAGATTGGTAGAAAAGTCATAAGAATCAGCCATAACCTTATGACTATGAAGAGAGCAAAGGATAGTATACTTTTTTCTGGGTAGTCAATGAAATATTTGAAAACTGAAGTTACTCTTCCTTTTCTTTGTGTTCCGTTTTTCTTAAGGTGGTTGTTAGTAGAGTTTTTCCTAATTAAAATTTTTGGTTTAGCCTGTAATTTCTTAAGGTAGTTGTTCCCCAAACCAGTTCATAGAATGGCTGTATAGAAATCACCTGGGATGTTTGTTAACCATACAAACTTGCTGAATCCTAGCCTTGAATATTGATACACGTCTGTAGTGCATCTTGCAATCTAATTTTATTTTATTATTATTTATTTTATTTATTTATTTTTGGCTGCGTTGGGTCTTTGTTGCTGCACGCGGGCTTTCTCTAGTTGCTGTGAGCGGGGACTACTCTTCGTTGTGGTGCACGGGCTTCTCATTGCAGTGGCTTCTCTTGTTGTAGAGCACTGGCTCCAGGAGCCCGGTCTTTAGGAGTTGTGGCTCGCAGGCTCTGGAGCACAGGCTCAGTAGTTGTGGTGCATGGGCTTAGTTGCTCCGCGGCATGTGGGATCTTCCCAGACCAGGGCTCGAACCCATGTCCCCTGCATTGGCAGGAGGATTCTTAACCACTGTGCCACCAGGGAAGCCCCCTTGCAATCTAATTTGTAAAGCTTCCCATGTGTTCTGGTGCACAGCTAAGTTGGGACCACTAGTATAATTAATATACTGGTGATGCTTAAATTTTATTATTTAATAAACAAATAATAGAGGAATAAGAAGTGGGCAATGTGGATGAGATCACAATAGAACTAGACTTAAAATAGGCACAAACTACTGGAACATCTCCTGAGTTGGATATGGTAGACTCAAACTAGCAAGCAAGTTTTGAAGTGTCCCATAAGTTCATTTCTGCAGATGAGATGCAGCATCTAGGTATGGCTTCCAGGTGGTTATACTTTTGGAGAGAGAGAGTGAGTTAATAGGCCAACTAGTTTAGCTTGTGCTGGGTACGTTTGGAGCTGTGTACTGTGTTTCTGGAATATAAGGGTGTATAATGTACTGAATATTATATAATATGCTGAAGAGAACTTCATTAATCCTTCAGTGCTTATTACATAAAGAAGTCACAGTTTTTTAAAGGAAAATTGTCCCAAACAGTTTTCTCACTACATCAACTGCAAGCGTCATGCTGAGTAGGTATTGCGGGGGGTGGGGGGGGGGAGCAATCCTGTTGCCATAGTCACAGGGCCATTCCATGGTGCACGTAGAAGGCAGCAACACATGGAGTGGCCAGCAGAGAAATCAACCAGCTGCAGGCTGGCTTGACACACATTCTGCCCAATAGTCTGTCCTTCCAAATTAGAGGCAGTTGAATCCTCTATTTGAAGAAGAATCAATGCTAGAATACTGGTTATTCTGGCTCAGATTGTTGCCTGCAAGCGATGCTGAGCTACTTTTCTGGTTTTCTATACACCCACTGTACCTCAAATCTTACTTCCCTAGTATGTAATTTAAAATCAGAGCAGGGCCCTCATTGTGATAGAAGAAATTTAACATTTCTCTCTGGACTAGTGCTGTTTCCACGGTTTAGTTTGCCAGAGTTAATTTGGATATGCCCAGTAAAACTGTTCATTTGTAAGTTTTCACTTAATAAAAATTCTCCTAATGTATTCACCAGAGTCTACAGTCACCATGATCCACATCCTTTGGATAAGAGTTGGCACTTACAGTGCCAGGAACTGTTTTAAGTGTTTCTCATGTATTAACTGTTTCATTTTTAAAGTAAGCCTTTCTATTCTATTCTGTTTTTAAGAAGAAGAAATCAAGAGACATTCTATTTTTTTTCTATGTATTTTTTTAACATCTTTATTGGAGTATAATTGCTTTACAATGGTGTGTTAGTTTCTGCTGTATAACAAAGTGAATCAGCTATATATATACATATATCCGCATATCCCCTCCCTCTTGAACCTCCCTCCCACCCTCCCTATCCCACCCCTCTAGGTGGACACAAAGCACCAAGCTGATCTCCCTGTGCTATGTGGATGCTTCCCACTAGCTATCTATTTTACATTTGGTAGTGTGTATATGTCAATGCTACTCTCTCACTTTGTCCCAGCTTACCCTTCCCCTGCACTGTGACCTCAGGTCCATTCTCTATGTCTGCATCTTTATTCCTGTCCTGCCCCTAGGTTCATTAGAACCATTATTTTTTAGATTCCACATATATGTGTTAGCATACGGTATTTGTTTTTCTCTTTTGACTTACTTCACTCTGTATGACAGACTCTAGGTCCATCCACCTCACTACAAATAACTCAGTTTCCTTTCTTTTTATGGATGAGTAATATTCCATTGTATACATGTGCCACATCTTCTTTATCCATTCATCTATCGATGGATATTTAGGTTGCTTCCATGTCCTGGCTATTGTAAATAGTGCTGCAATGAACATTGCGGTACAAGAGACATTCTATTTTTAAGATGCAGAAATCAAGAGACAAGTTATATTGCCCAAGATATCGTAGCTAGAAAGTAGCATAATAATGATTTGACATCCTGGCTCCTGAGACTGTGTTCTTAACCACAGAGCTAACTGCTTCTGTTTGGTACAGAGGAATACCCTGAAATTCTTGATAACATGCGTTTTCAAAATGGATGATAATAAATTCAAGGGAAGATAAAGGTTGAAACACAGCACAGCAGAAACCACGGTGTGACTCTAGGAAGGAGACCTGTGAATTACTTAAGAATAGGTCTGGGAGACCCTGGGTTGGCAGCTGTTAATCATTAATTCCTTTGAAAAGCTGTCAGTAACCTGGTCAGAGGGAAGGAATTGAATCTAAAGGGACGATGGTTCCCTGAAGACCTACCCATTACTTCATCTCACTGAGGAAAGAAACATTCTGTGCCTATGCTGGACACAGAAAAATACAGCAGCAATGAATCTTGGCACTCAGCACTTACACAACATTTTATAAACCAAATGCACGCACACTGAACAGCTATAGTACCCCCAATATGAACACAATAGATCACCCAGGAGTTCCAAGTAGGCCTTAAAAAATCTTACTTGGAAGGAAATTTTGTGTAAAGCATCAATTTAATTGCTAAAATACTCAAGCAGGTGTCATTGCTAGGCTCAGAACTAGACTATGAACTACAGACTCAATTACCCATGAAAATATTGCCAGAGATAGAATGACTCAATGTTTCATCAAAAGAGAAAAAGACATCTTTTTAAAGTTGAGAGGGAAGCTCATTTTTTTGTTTGTTTTTTTTGTTTTTTAAACATCTTTATTGGGGTATAATTTCTTTACAATGGTGTGTTAGTTTCTGCTTTATAACAAAGTGAATTAGTTATACATATACATATGTTCCCATATGTCTTCCCTCTTGCGTCTCCCTCCCTCCCACTCTCCCTATCCCACCCCTCCAGGCTGTCACAAAGCACCGAGCTAATATCCCTGTGCCTTGCGGCTGGGAAGCTCATTTTTTATATCAATTGCCCTCTTTCCATTCTGTATAAAACCATGCCAGTATAATTAAAATTTTTCCACTATGGCTGGATAATATTTTAAAATCTCCCTTTTCCTTGTTTTCTCCTCAGTCAAATTGGCTCAGAGTTTCACTGACTCATCTCAGGAGTGTCAGGCTGTTAGCAGATTGGCTCAATGAGTGAATGGAGTGTCTATAAAATATAACCTATGATTAAGATTTAAAGAAAAACAGGAGGAAAGCAAGGATTCTGTCTGATAGTTCAGATGAAATCAAGGACAAGTGGGGATAATACATTAAATGAGAAGGTGCCTGAGATTTCAAAGGTGTAGTCAATTAGGCTTGATGACAGGATAATAACTGCTACTATTTAGTGAACAATTTTTAGGGGTCAGACACTACATTCATTATCCCAATTAATCCTTACAATGGCCTGTTATGGGAGACCCTTGAGAAATATTCCCATGTGGGGTCTACAACAATTTTCCTTTCCAGGAAAGCAGGTGACATTAATAGATCTTAGCTTTGTCTGTTATTGTTAAGCAAGGGTCACTAAATCACTAGA